GCCGCATTTTCCAGCTTTTTGTATGGTCCCCGGTAGCTGACTGTCTTTTCTTTATAGTCATTTTTCTTCCTTCGAAGTCAACGAAAGCGCGTTAAATTTGTACTGATTAGCCAATCTAATTGTGCTAAGCAGTTGCTGATAAAAACAAATGAGTTTTTGAAATTTCGAATACTTCGTTGTTCCAAATTTCAACTTGTGGTTCATCGCAAATTTCGGTGCTCCACTAAATCATTGGTTCTTATCAGCAATATGCTTGGCACTGTTGAGTGATAATCAGTAAACACTTTCATCAACTTTTAAGAAAGAAAATTTGCTTCAAAAAAGGCTCTCCGCCGCCAAGGATCATCAGGATCATAAACATAACTTGCGGCTTGTTCAGCGTTTTTGACTTCATATAAATATGTTTATAGTGAAGGACGAGGGAACACTCACTAGGTAAACGGCCTGAAATCCAAGTATCTAAAGCTTCAGATGAAGCTTTCTTTTGAGCAGCGATCCCCTCAAGAGCGGGGATGTTAATATGCGGCCATGAAACAGTTCAAACCAAAGCCGAGACGCACAGTCGGTATAGGATTCATCTCAACTGTAGTGACATGTGCACTACAACTTGCAATTTATAATCGCTGGTGAGCAAGACTTTTCCCGTAGGAGGTAAGTTTCCCAACTTCACAAGCGGAGTTCTCTCTTCCAGTGCTTTTAGGCCCCGGCCAGATTTCACGCGACTTAATCGTCGCGATCGAATTGCCAAGATTTTCATTCATTTTCATTTCACATTCAAAAATTTCGGGCTGGAAAAGTATCACAACCGAATGCAAGTTGATCAGCATGGAATGATGTTGTAACAGTTCCTCGTCGCGATTCAGTCGCGACGATCAAATCGCGTAAATTCTGCCCGGGGCCTTACATGAATCCATTTTCGCATATCCAAATCTTGCACTTTCGGTGTATTCAAATAGGATTGTTAGCGAAGCAAAAAGCGCCGAACAAGATCTCTGAAGAGATGGGCAGACATAATTGCGTAAAGGGTGGAGCAGCTGAGAAACAGCTGTATGAGTATTTTTCAACATGAAGCAGCAGAAAAGACTATATCCAGGATCAAGCTTGAAGCGGTGCACGCCACAAAAGGGGAGGGGGTCGTATTGGGGGGGGGGGAAGCAGAGAGGAAAGGGAGGTCGTTTTTTTTACTTTCTATAGCGGTTGCTGAAAGCACAACCTTCGAAGCGAAAGACGGGACAAACGAGGTTTTGACTGGCTTTTAATTCCATAATTTGGCGATTTTTTGAAGTAGATTTCTCAAGTGGGCGAAAAAAAATATTGCTTTGCACTGAATGCAAATAGAGTTAGCTAACTCACCTTTCAAACAAATTTAACCATGTTTGAAAATGACCATTTCACTTGAGTGATCTATTATATGCAAACCTTAGAATTCGATAAAACTTGATCCACAAAGCTTGTCGACATGCTAAAGACGAATATTTACTCAGGATTGGACCAAACTTTGCGGCTCAAGCGGCTTACTTGACGTACGCAACGTACGCAGACGTGCATAACAGTGCCGGTTCGATGGGGAGGGGCGGGGGGGGGGGAAGGAGGGCGCCCCCCCCCCCGAGAATGGGTCGCGAAATTTTTGAAACTTACCTATATGGATTATAAAAATGTGCAAACGTCTTGTTTATTTTTGTAAATAATTAAAATAATTTTCAAAGTTTTTTAAAAATTCAAATTAGCCCTATAAAAAATTTTTTTCGGGGGCGTGGCTGACGCCATGCCCCCTTTTTCAGATTTTAGGAGTTGGGGACCCGCAAAAATTTTGAGAAGTACTCCTAAAATTTTTTCGGAGTGCGTGGCTGACGCCACGCACCTTCATTTGAAAAAAAATTTTTCCGCCCCCCCCCCGGTCCGAAATCCTGGGATCGCCACTGGTGCATAAATATATGGAGCGTGTGCCGCGCAGTCTGGCCCAACCTTTAGGTAGGTAGACGATAATACCGGGAGGGGGGGGGGGGCATTAAAACGGGGAGGGGGTCGTATTCGGCGGTCACGTGCCATACCTCTTGCTCAATCCTGACTATATCTATGGTCGGCACTGTACAGCACATATGTAAGGGTTCCTTCATACTACGCTGCAGGACGCGGCGTGCGCCGCTGAAGTCGCAGTAAAAATATTTGCTCACGGCAGCACAGCTTCGCCGATTATGGATGTACATCTATATTTGCTGCACGTTCGTGTTCTCCGAGAGGTTCCTTCACAGCAACCAGGGTTATATTTGCACTGCGTGCAACGGTACACCACAGGACGCGGCGTGCGGCAGCGTACTGCCGCGTCCTGCGGCTCAATATAAAGGAACTCTGACTATTCGTGTTTGTCTAGTACATTACGCTTATATTCTTTCTTCCAGCAAATAGTTCGCTTTTTATGTTTATCTGTTGACCCTTAAGGCCACTGTTAAGGTAGACTTATTGGTAAGCACCAGCAAACTGCATTCCAAGTCAACTTTAGGTGTGAATCTAATGAGAGCGGAAAATTGCCAGGTCTGTGCTTCAAATACGGTGCTTATGCTTTCTTCTAAAGCTAGCTTTTGAATGTAAAAAAAGGTTGCCAATCTTGATTTAGGTGGCTGTCAAAATGTTACCAGAATCTGCAGATGATGCGTCTCGAAGCGAATTTTTACGAGAGATTAGTCTAACGAAAAATTGGATATCACGAAAGGTACTTTTTCTTGAGCGGCAAGTCAATATTCGCGCAAGTTTTTTTTTGTCCTTGCTTGCTTCGGGTTAGTGATGGATTAGAAAAGAAATGTGGAAATGAAGTTCATTGCATTTTAATGTAAAATATCGTATTAGTGTTGAATACTTCTAGCATGTGCAAAAGGAAGTATTCGATTCAGGCAGAATTTTGCTCACACCCTTATCAGCAAAGCTTCAACTTTTACTACAGCTTACTGGTTGTTATTTTTTCGATCGCATGTGTATGCGTAAAATGTGTGTATGTTGTGTAATGTATGTGTAATTTGAACTTTTCTGCCACTTTTAAGACTTCTTCTCAAGCTTCTTGTACAAATAGATTTTATTATACTATGTAGATTGACTCGCAACTAGCAGAAAACTCATTCCAAACTCCTCCAAATCTGACCGCCATGTTGGGAAAAGAGCTCAAATGTGCGCTACTGTATGTGTATTTGAGGATGCCACTGCGCTCAAGTCTTATAACGGGCATCGGCTGTCTGAAAAAACCCCCCTTGCAATTCAAATTTCAATCAAAAAACAAAGGTCTCAAATATATTCACATATTGAAAAGAATGCGTTTACAAAACTCATCTTCTCCTTTGTGCTATGATTCAAAATAGAATTGAAAGTGGATTATGAGTGAAAGCGCGTTCTTATTGAACACAGTGCACCTCGAGCCTGGAAGGAAACTCGTTAACGCTATTCCTTTTTTTCAAAAAAGCGATTGTTACCCTTGTATGTAACTGATAGCCTGCCATGGTAAGCCTAAGAGTATTCATGAAAATTTGGAGGTTAGCGTTTTGGTAGGTCAGTGCACTTATACTTCAATGTCGAAGCGTGGGCGAGGAGAGAATTCGGAGTGAGCGAGGAGGAAATTTGTATTGCCATCCTCGTCTTAAGAAGTACTTATGAACACATGTGCACCTTGCAAACTTTGCTCTAGACTCGTCAAACGGCATGTTTATGTATTTGAGGTGCAAAGCGCTTTCCAGCGCCGGCAAACAGCTTATTCTGCTGAAAGGCAGCGTCCAGGCAAAAAGCCGATTTTCAAAGGATCCACTTACCGAGGGTGAACCACAACGCTGAATCCTAAAATCCAGTTTAACAGGCGCGGGAACGGAGAAAACATGCGTTTTCCAAAACCTTACAATTTGAAATTCGACGGTCCCCGCCAAGGCCGAGACGCAGAATAACTGCGCTCTACGATTTTGACTGTGGTGGCATGCGTACTCTGCCGCATAACAGGTATTCAAACAGATCGAGGGAGATCCCGACCCAGGCGTAGGTTTCCCCACCCGCTCGCTTTCTTGCTTTAGGTCGAACATTGTAACCTCGTACTTGCACAGCGCTGTGTCTGAGGGGCGCCACTCTCGCATGGCACTGAAATCTGACCTATGGGGATTTTACGTGGTAAGTAATTTTGGGGCCCCCGCTCAGGCACTGCCCAACGGCAGCGCGAGTGACTCACTCACGGCTGAGATATACGCCTCCAAAGTGGACCCCAGGATTGTATTCGCATGGATTCATGGCAGTTTCGCGCGAGGACCTACGCGTTGCGCCATAAATTCATACGAATTACGATCCTGGGGTCCAGTTTCGAGGGGATTATCTCGGCCACTAGAGCACTACCTGAGCTGCCGGTTGGGCAGTGGTTTAGTTAAAAATTACTATCCACGTATTTTGAGTAGCACAATTGCTGTTTAGGCCGAAAATAAGAGCGATCTTTTATGATCGAGACGCAAACTTAGTCAATTAGCTTCTTCTTTAGAGTAAAAAAATAAACGTATGAAATTAGATTCCTCGTGAGTCGTCTATGATGTAGTAGCGCTAGGCCTGAGGCATACCTTATGCGATTCATAGGATTTAGTTGAATCGCGTGAGGTATGCAATAGGCTTTACAAGACAGCTCCCGTTAGAAAATCTAGCTATGCAGGCAGATGGCACGAAATTATTTCCTTACATAGATAAGTTGTACTGCAATAGGTTCTACATTAGTGTTCATGAGTACAAGTAACAGCTCGGCACATCCGGTATAACTTTCTCTTGGAACAATCACAAATCACCAGCTTTGAATGCTAAACAAAAGCACCAAAAAAATAAATCTATGTTTCAAAGGGCGACAAAAGAGGGTAGTACGTCGACAGCAAAATTTATTTTGAACATGCAGGGTGAGCTGGGTCTAAGTTCGATTACTTTGCAAGCATTTACTAGTGACTTGATCACCTGCACCCCTTGCATGCATGCTGCAGTTCCCGATTTCTAGGCTAGTCAACATGCTGGCATGTATCACAGAATCCGAACCTTTCTGCCTTGTTGCCGAGTTTTGTAGCGACAGTGATCTACTCAATTTTCTGCGAGAACGTTGCAAATACATGATCAAAGTAAGTCTCGATTCATTTTCTTATATCACTGAGTAAATCTGAGTCTGCAGCTCAATGCTCAATGAGTAAACTATAATGATGTACCAAAGGATGGTAACTACAACATCGATATGATAGTCACCTTGAAACAACTGTTGGTGTTTGCTGTGCAGATTTCTTACGGTCTTGTGAGTTTACATAGCAAAAACAGCTTTTTATGTCTCATAGGGTCTTTTAGGAGTACTTGTCTACCAGAGGATTTGTCCATCGTGACATTGCGGCTAGAAATATACTCGTTATTGGGAAAAACTCGTGCAATATTGGTGACTTTGGACTTTGCCGGAATTTGTATTCGGACAGTTCACTTTATAGAAGCAAGGTATGTCACATAACAGTCCTGAGAATATTGAGATTACAAGATTCATACAGGGAGGACGTTTACCGCTGAAGTGGATGTCACCAGAGGCGATACGACATTATAAGTTCTCGACACAGAGTGATGTGTAGTCATTAGTTATACATTTTATTCTAAAATTTTCAATACAGTAACTACATAGAAAGCTCACTTGTAAAAACGGGTACTTGAGAATATGAATGTGTAAACATTTTTTTGTGCATACATTGTTGAGCATCAAATGAGAGATCAAGGGCACTCACGATCGAGCACATTTTGGTATAATACATATGATCCACTTCTTCAAACCTTGCATATCAATGTTTGGATTCAGAGCAGTACTTAAACTCATGCATCATAGATAAATTATCGAAAACAACATAACTAATATTGCAGGTGGGCATTTGGTGTACTGCTTTTCGAAAATATCACATTAGGAGGTTCCCCCTACCCACTAATTCCTCCCGAAGATTTGCTCGATTATCTCGAAAACGGCAGAAGAATGGTGCGTCCTGACAATTGCCCCGAACTTTTGCAAGTTACTAGTTGTTTTCAAGTGTTTCGAATTGTGTGCGTTCTTCAGCTACGAAGTCATGGCCGAATGTTGGCGTTTTGAGCCGAAACAACGACCGGATTTTTTAACAATTCGCCAGAAACTAGCTGCTCAGCTTGAGGAAATCACGGAAGAGTATAATTATCTCAAGTTAGACAGTAAAAAAGCTACAACGTACAATATGCAGAAAAGGTTCGTTTGAGTTGATAGGCTGCGATCGCAATTCTGTAATAAACTTGTAATCTCTTTAGCCGGATGTAATAGTCATTCCCGAGTCGGAGGAACCTATCTCACCGCCAAAACCACGAGAAGGGAGCCAATCGCTTTCCTTCGATAGCATCATGGTGATGACCGATGGATCGCCCAAGTAAGTAGTGAGATAGATGACGCAACCAGGAAAAGAAACTCCCGCAGTGTCAGCATTGCAAAGAATGTGGACGACAATTCATGTGCAGAGTACGCGTTCTGATGCGTGAAATATGCGCATCTAAATCTAACAAATACTTCACCTTTCCTTATTCACCTCAACCATTGTGCTGGTAAGAAAGTTTTCGGACAAACCCAGAGTAATCATGTTATTTCTTGGAATCTAATGAATATACATAAGCGAAAATATGCAATATGTATTCTAGCATGCATGAAACTTAAATTTAAGCACGTGGAAAAGTTCAGTGTTGAGGCGGGAGCTTGTTACTTTTCAATCACCTCGTTTCTGTGTTAGAAGGCTTGAATCCTGTACAACTCTTGATTGTAAGTATGAACTATTTGTCTACGTATGTGGTAGTGCCATGAGTTCCTGGAAGATGGAGTTTTCGGTCAAGTCGAAATCTTATGCTTTAGAATTTTCGCCTGCATACTCACAGGAGGTGCTGACCATGATTATCCCTACCATAATCTTATGGAGCTTGGTTCCTTTAGTTGAACACCGTGTCCACTCAGTCTCACATCAAAATAAAACTATCCTGTAATTTATGCCACTACTTTATTACCAACCTAATACAGTAGAGGAAAGGCGGCTCCGTGAATTCACCGCGGAACACTGACTATCGCTTTTCAATATTGCAGCAGTACAAAACCTTTGCCAAAACGCAAGTCTTGATTACTAAGACTGCAGCTGTAAAATAGCGCAATTGCCTAAAAGATTTTATAATACCATCCAAATGTAAAGCCATTCACTTCCCTTCTTTCTCTTATTCTTGTTTACAGTGAATTGCTATCGAATTACTGTTTGAAAGTTGCCTTTGATGATGTTGTATATGGATATATGCACAATTACAACGTATTTTCTTGTAAAAATAAGCGTTTGTCTCAGTGATCAGGAACTTATCAACTGCACTCCGCAGTACTTCTCAGTAAAATTGCTTGCTGTTAACTCAACTTCGCCTTCTAAAATCATTTCATAGTGTTACGCCCACGTACTTCCTTTGCTTAAACAAAAACAAATCGATTGTGGTGGCCATCGTGTTTGTATTTTATCTGAATTCATCCAGTCTTTGTACAGTTTGTCTCACGTTCTTCAATCCTCAGAGTCGCGCGTTGTTTGATTACCAGTTCAGTTTTTACCGCACGATGGTCTGGTTCAAACATCGCACAAACTGTGCACTTTGTATCCAACGATTCTCTGTACGAGTTATGTTGCCCAGACTATGACTGTCACTTCTTGTTCTTCATTGTTGTGAACCTATACGATGTGCTTGTGTATATTGTTCTTCACAATATCTGTTCAAAAGTTTAAGGACAATGGATAAATATTTGCTGAAAGTTGTAATTGAAACGATAAAAAAGTTTGAGTGAAATCTTATATATAAAGCTGAATGTGTGTCTGTCTGTACGTATGTGAGAGTTAGAAATTTTTATTTCTGAACCGATTTGGACCAAACTTGGCACACATACACTTCGGGGCGGGAGCGTGTCATAGGCCATTTTTCGTCATCGATCGATATTGATTGCAAAGATTGAGCTACAAGGCTGGGAGTTGGCACAGGGGTGTTTTAGAGCACTTTGTCGAGTTCGAGTCCGAGTTCTTTTGCAGAGTTCACCTATGGTTTGGAGGTTGGCACCGGGGGGGGGGCAAGTGAGCATGGCGATTCCGAATACAATATTAGTTTCCAGAATTATCGATTACTTTTATCGATTTTATCGATTTTTTGCAAAGTTTGAGCTACAGGGCTGGATGTTGGCACAGGGGGTATGTGTGCAAGCTGATTACGAATACAGTATTAGTTTCTGGATTATCCATTACTTTAATCGATTTTATCTTTTTTTAAAAACTGAGCTGAACGGGAGTAAGTGGGCATGCTCGGAAAACAACGCAGGGAACGGGAAATGAAGTGTAGAAGTGTACACGAGGAAGACTGTGCAGGGATAGGGTTGGGACCTTTATTACAGTGTTTTAACAGAGCGGAGCCAGGTAAGCAAGCTAGTATTACAGAAGTAGGTCCCCGCCAATCTATCTCATCGTAATTTGGCGTTATTAGTGAGTCAAATGGAGAGCAAGTTAAAAAACATTACCTTGGGAAAATTATTCCCTAAAATATGACTAGAAAAGCGTGATCTAAATAGTAGACTGACTTAGGAATTCTTGAAAATTCTTTGCTATAGAAAACGCAGAATCATAAATGTCAATTATTTGGCTTTTATTTCTTTTGATCATAACCCTTTGAGTTTCGATTTTTCCTAACTTATATTCGAGAGGCAGTCCTGCGGCAATCGATATATTGCAGCTCTCTCAGGCTTTGGCATAGCTCACGCGATTTCGTCGCGGTTTGCCAAAGTGGAAATGCTCAAAAATTAATCCAGCCGTCTCAAACAAGTTACATTTCATTGGACCCGCTTAAAACGATAATTTTGATTATTGTTTATTATCTATCGAACACTATCTGGAAGAAGTTATGAGCGTCGAAATGTGAGAAATTATCGAGTTTAACGAATATATAATAGTTTGTTGAAAGGCAGACTGATGGTGCGGATCTACGGTGGCTATAGTGTTCTAATCGCAAGAAAAAAGTACATTTACCAAAAACCTGAACAAGCGTTTTTGCAACGTATTTCGTTGAACGTGCGTCACAGAGCTTTTGACAAATCGCGCGTTCAAACATTCTAACTCTGTCAGAAAGTCGCTTGGCAGATAGTAAACATACATTTGAGATTAGCATTTCACGGCGAGTCCGACGATGTATAGCCTGTCTGGTATGGCTGGGCTAAATTCTGACCACTAATTGCTAAGCTGGACAACAAGTGTTCCACGCCGCCGCCGCTGTTCCACTATCAAGTGCATGGGCCTCGATGCATTTGTGATGGCTATTCGGCGCAACAATCGCTACCCACTTTTCGACATGCATTGCTCACTTGGCGAAATCGTCGCGATTTTGCCGAATCAGCGTGACGTTCGTCCGTTTGTAGCGAGCGACGAGAGCGACTGTCGCGCCTATCCCGAACGTTTTATCATGTGCCTATTGTTGCAGACGCGTTATGACTTCTTCTTATTTCAGGTTATCTGTAGAGAGCTGTAGAGAATCCACTCAACTTTTTGCGTTTGTGAGTCCTCTGATCACAAGTACACATGATAGCTTTCTACAACAACTCCTAATGTCCCTCTGTTTTGAAAATAGTTTTTTTGGCCTTCAAAATCTGTTGCTGATTATCGCTTGCGGAAAACTTAAAGCTTGAAGTTCTCATTTTTTCCCAAGCTAATGCTGAGCGATGTTTGGATTACAAAACCTCCTTCATTTTTTGCGCTCTCAAGAACGATTTTGTGCACAAAACTTATACAACACCGAATTACTGTTTACTTTCGAGCAGCCGTATTGTTGGAACTTGAAAAAAGTGCAGAAACAAAATATACAAATTTCGAAACTCGTCATTGTTCGCGTTATCCGTCACCGCAGCATATCTCAGAAAATGTGTCACATGTCATAAAAATGTGGCGAAAATTTTGCTGAAATTTCTTATAATTGGGCAATTATGTAGATTGAGACGATGTGGGTCGTCAGTTAGTTGGCTTTCCTCATCATATGTGCAAGAGGATTATTGAATATACGATGTGTACGGCCTGCTAAGCGTTGTGCAGTTGCACCACATTACGTTAGAGGCGCCTAAGAACACGGACGAGCGAGGAGACTCAATCGTCGCTTATGGCCGCTTTTCGGAAGCGTCGAAGCCTTTAAAAATCGCACGACTTTGTCGCTCGAGGTAGCCCAGGGCCTTAAGCTTTTCCAGTACCTGGAGATCGTTGCTTGTGGAGACAGTTGCATTATTGTCTTAGTCAAAAAGTTTTTGTCGCCAAAATGGCTACAGTAAGTGTTCCTCTCTGTTCGAATTCTCTACTGCATCACTTAGAACGAACTCCGCCTTTGCTTGCAAGTTCCGCATCATGCTTTGGACAAGCATACACACACAAATACACGCACATACATGTATGCAACATACACACATATCTATTAAATATACATACACACATACACACACCTAATTCTTGGAGAATAATCGCAAGTCAAAATGTATAAAATGAGAATTTTTCTCTTCAGAGCAAAAGCACTTATGATTAAACAGAAAATGAGAATAGCTTTCAAATAACTTCCGGTATTGGTCACAATGAAAAGAGTTTGGTAGCTTTTGCTTCAAAATGCTTTTACAACTTTCACCAAGTGATGCAACCTAATGTATATAGAAACTCCATCCAGCAATTTCGATCAATCACTCAAAAGAAGCGGGAAAACTGATAGTGAATGAACTGATAGCAATGATAGAAACAGCAATTACACGATTTTATAAAGAAAACTCTTTATTTCTTCATTGAAATGACAAAATTTGAGTTCATCATATGAACTTCCCGCTTTTTTCAAATTCGGGCATTTGGTCAACAAATACACAAACATTATAGTGGCGACATCTCCACGTAACGAATGTAGCGCCATCAGCATGGATCTTTTAGATCAACTCCTCTGTGAGTGTGTCATCATAGCCAGATTTGAAATGATCTTCGAAATTAGGTTGACGCTAGCGACTTCTAGTAAGTAATCATTTCAAATCACTGACTAAGACACCCGGTGGTGTATAGGTTTCACAGGTGACAACAGTAACATGAGGCCACTTAGAAGCAGGGGAGTCAGCGGCATACGTCGGCACCGATTCTCCAAGCTTAACAGCAGATATGTTTTTCGATGATACCCTACTTGGTAGGAGCTATGCAAACATGCATCTAGAGCTATCGGTAAACCTTGCGGTTAGAATCAATGCCTAAATTCAGCAAAGTACATAGGCGCGGCAAAAGAAGAAATTAAGAGTAAGTGCAGATAAACGATTAACAAATACCCTAATAAAATTCTAGGAACAAATGGACTAGAGAACATATAGTAATATCACAACGATGACAGACAGCGTCAAACTTAAGTCATACAAATCAGTGTGAAATCCATTTGAATAAGCCATAAAAGAATATAACAGATACAAAAAACGAGCAAAAACATAACGCAAAGCACGCATAATTAAGAAGTGGATAGAATGCATAGGCGGCTAGGACAATGATTTTGCAGATTTATACATTCAGCGTCTTACTGCGTGCCACTGGGAGAGTTTGATGCTGACTGCTGTGATGCGAGCATTGAGCTCGCCCAACGCTCCAGATACGTGCCTTTCTCTTGCGCCTTAAATAGTAACTTCGACAAGTTGTATCATCATTACCAGCCAATCAAAATTAACTGACTCATTGTGCTACTATAAATGGTAAAATGTTCCCATTTTATATGCTAAGCTGAATGTCTGTTTGTTTATCTCCCTGTATTACGCAACAGCTAGCTTACCCGGCTCCGCCCGGCCCTAAAACACTGTTGTAAAGGTTCCATCCCTACCTGTACAGCCTTTCCCCGTGCCCACTTCTACACTTCATCTCCCGTTCCCGTTTTGTTTTCGAAATCAGCATGCCCACTACCCTCCTGTGCCAACTTCCAGCCCTGTAGCTCAAACTTTGCAAAAAATCGATGAAATCGATAAAAGTAATAGGTAATACCAAAAACTAATATTGTATTCGTAATGCATGCTTGATTACCCCGTGTGCCAACCCAAAGTCTCGTAGGTGAACTCTGCAAAAAATTGATAAAATCGATAAACGTAAGCGATAATTTTGAAATATAATATTATATTCGGAATCGCCATGCTCACTTGCCCCCCTCCCCCGTGCCAACCTCCAAACCGTAGGTGAACTCTGCAAAAAACTCGACAAAAATCGATAAAATCGATGGCGATCGATAACGAAAAGTAGCCTATGACACGCTCCCTGCCCCGAAGTATATGTGCCAAGTTTGGTCCAAATCGGTTCAGAAATAAAAATTTCTATTTTGCACATACGTACGCACAGACAGACATACACACAGGCAGACATTCAGCTTTATATATAAGATGTATGTTTGTACAATTTCCCGCAAACTTTGAGTCAAATGGCTGGGAGCTGACACAGGGCTATGCTAGCATGCCTGATTACGAACATGAGCTTTCAGGGTATTCGATTACCTTCATCGAATTGATTAATCTTTCGCGAACTTTGAATTACAGCGCTGGATATTGGCGCAGGGGGAGGGGTAGCTAATGGGCCAGGAGTTATCAGAGGGGAGGGGAGGGGGGGGGGGGGGGGTCTGAACATGATAATAACGAAAGAATAATCGATATGGAAAACCCCTGCATTAATCGGTTTCAACAGTTTGGCATCTTATGGGGTAGGTGTTGATTATGAATACACACAAAAGAATCGGCATCTGAAAGGACAGAAACGGGGAATGTTGTTGGCAAGGAATAATGATCTTTATTGTTGGTTTTGGCGGCTGAGCAGAGCCGAATATATTTATAAAAGATGTAAAACAGTAGCGAACTTGCAAAATTTTTTGCTTTAACTCAAGCGATCCCTTTTGCAACATGCAAGATATGTAGTATGTACCGTGACTTTGCGCATTCACACAGAATGGACTCTCCAGCGAAAAGAGGGAATATGTCCTTTTTGCCCGCCAGTCTCTTACAATCCAAGAGAAATTACTCCTCTGAATTTGTGTTCGCGTATAGCAAAAATTGTGTACGTTTGTGGGGCTAAAGTAGACGATCTCGAAGTCAAACTCTTCAAAAGTTGAATTTCTCCTTTCTTATTGCACAATCTGACCAGAATAGAAAATCGTGAAAGTTTAACTAGGCAATTATCGTAAATAAAAACTTGTAAAAAATTGATGGACATTGGTAAATATTACAAGTTTCAACAGGAGACTCATGTTCTTTTCTACGAACAAAACGTTATAGCTGACCAAAAGCCGTGAGTAAATCAAAGGGGCAAGTGCAGTGCATTGGTATAAGTCTGAATTAATACCCGAACTGCCGGTTTATGCTCTAGCTACGAATGAGGCATAGAAATGTTTCTAATTCTTATCTAGTACTAGGTAAGTAGTATAGTGCTTTGTAACACCTACACTTTCAGACTTCTTCCTCTTCTCTTCTGACTGCTTTGCTGTTGAAAAGACATCAGCTTCTGCGTCATTATCCTCACCAGGACATGGGCTAAATCCCATAAGATCAGAAACTTTTTTAGCAAAGTTGTCAGTTTTAAGAAAGTCGTCATATTTGAGGTGATACCTTTGTGTAGGACTGCTCTGTGGCGAATGCGAATCAACCACGTCAAATCCACGCTTACGACTAGCCTTTGCATAATGATATCCGGCATCTTTGACTACCTAAGACGATCGATGACATTCTTTGCAAAATGAAAGTTTTGTCTCTAACCTGCCGTGCCAATGGAAAGAGTTCATCACGTCTTGTAAGAAGTGAAGGCATGATCAAACATAATTGAGCAGCAGCTTCATTCACAGATACCTCGTGAAAAGAAAGACCCTGGAGAAAACAGTTACGGCGAACTAAAAAAATGAAGAAATTTTCTAAGTTAATTTATTTCGAATAAACCGTTGTTCTTGCGCTACTATAATAATTTAGGAGAAGCAACTAACCTTGTCCGGTTTTCTCTTGGCATCAAAACGCCCATAAATTGCCGAATATTTGCGGTACTCGGCAAGACGATTAGGCGTGTCGGCAGAAGCAGAAAGAAGATCGAGCACCTCTCTGAAAGTATGATAAATGATTGACTCCAATTCCTACGTCGTTGATCAAACGTAAGCGAGAAAGATTCCACATGCTGAAACATTAAGTGGCTCTCGCGCAGTCATTTTGCAGAAAAACGAATTATCGCTTCTCTCTTTATTCGTTCTTGTGCTTCTAGCAGATGTACAAAGCTTCTCTTCACCAAACAAATTTTAAAGGATGTAATTTTCAACAAATCCATGCTCAGCATGATTTGTAACGAATATATATATATATCAAACCCACTTTGAAACTCGCTTTTTATTTTGTACAAGTTTTGGTGGAAGTCGAGGGATTTTTTGACATATCGCCATTGCGCAGCTGGAAAGGCGACGAATCTGCGCGTCGGACAGAACTGGCGAATCGCACAAAGCAGTACCTAAACAAAATTACAGTAATTCAGCTAATTATACTTACTCAAGCAAATCACATCAAAGGGAATGGTGCTTACTTGGATCATAATCTCCCAGGGACACGAAGTCTCCTCCTACTGAAACAGGGCTGGACGACCTGAAGATGCAGCAACGATGTGCAAATTCATGGTTTTAAAAAATTTGAAGCTTTTTGTGATTTTTGCTGCTGTGCTTGAAAATATATGTACTAGGTTCTTAAGTTCTGTCCGACTTTTAGTTGCCTTGCGTTCAAAGCAGCTATCTTTTAGGGATTTTGATTCAACGCATCTGAATCCATGTGAAAGCGCTTTTTGCTCTTTCTTCTGCTTATAAATCTCGATGAAATACGTTCCGACGAAATATCAAGCCTCATTGAACAAGTTGCTAGGGTACAATAAAATTTAACTGTTTTATAAAGGGAATCTCTGCGGTGCACACAAAATTACCTACGTGGAATTTTATAACGAGTGGTATAAGAGAGTTTATTCTCATAACTAATTTTTTGAAGAAATTGGCTTACTTCCCAATTTTGTCTTGAAAAATAGAGCTTCCCTTAGCTACTTTATAAGCAACAACAATCTAACACAACGACAAATGCTGTAATTTATATAATATAAGTGAGGCAGCAGGGACCATCAGCCAACTGGTGTCCGCAACAGTAAAGATCTAGGATTGAAAAGTAGTTACGGAATTCTTTGAATTATTAGAAAATTAAGAAATTAGGCTACTTGATAATGGCACTCAAATGCGCCTGCCCATCCCTGTGTGCGAGCGTTAGTAACACCTTAATTCAATAAACCTTGCGAATTTTTTCAAACCTCCGCGCTATGTTGCCTTATCATTTTCGAATGTCATATTGCTCTTACAACCAGAATCTCGCTTTAGTATATTTTTCTTCTGGTAAGTTCATTTCAAGTTGTAACATTCTAACCCATAGTAAACCCCCTTCATAGCAACTCGGCTGGGACGGGACTAGGTAGAACCTACAGCACCTTAGTCCAGCTTCCAACGAGCTATTGATTCAAATGCGGATTGCTTTGTAAACATGAAAATCGTGCATGTTCTCAGAAAGAAGTTACAGCGCCTAGCAAGCATGGTCAAATGGGTAGATGATTTAGTAACCCGCAGACATGGTTTGAGAACGGTTGATGGTAACTTTCTGTGCATCGTCGGCCAATTTTTTATCGGCCCCAAACGCAAAATCGATGATGACCGCTCAAGGATCTCGCCTAGCAAATGAGATAAAAAAACTACAATTTTTGACGAAAATTCGTGAATGAAATGGTTTGAAAAATCGAATAAGATAAATAAATAGACTCTCGTTCAAGCAGCTTTCGAAAACCCACAAGCTCTACAAAATGAAAAGGAAATCCGTTTCCTTGCAACTCTCCGAAATCAACCGTTCATTGATTCTCGCCTTTTTGGCCCCGATGTTGTGCACTTTTGGGCGTTCTTGTACCGCAAAAGAATGTGAACCTAAGTGTCTCGTAACTTACCCACAGATAATTTACAAGATGTTTAGCCGATTCACCGGGATTTCGGTACAGCAACACATTCTATTGAGTTAATTTTGTTATAACGTACTGCGAAGGAAGTAGGTCGATCCAGGCAGTATCCGCCTTGAACCAGAATTTTGAATGATAAAATAACGAGAAATTATGCGAAATTTCCACTTTTACAAATCTTGCGGTTAAAGATGTCAGCAACTGCGACTTCATAGGTTTTGAAGAGTAAATGGTGCTCTATCAGAAAGTGAAAAAATCGAGTCGATTTGAGAGATAGTCGCCGAAAACCAGAATTCTAAAAAATCACGCCATTTTAGCATGTTTAATGACAGCTGACAGTTAAACTCATATTCTTGAATGTGAAAGTGTGTGATGTTGCGACTTCATGGGCTTTGTAGAGTAAGGTTTGAATTATCAGAATATATTTTAACCGTACCGATCCACTGAAACAGCGCCGAAATTCAGGGTCTTGAAAAAGCAGGTAAAAAAGCGTTTCTTGAACTTCAACAGCTCATAACTTCTTCAGAACTGCATGGATCATGTTGCGACTTCATAGGTTGGATTTGCTTTCAGATATGTATAATATTTGGGGGTTTCGCGCCTCTCACAGCATATGCACGGGGGAGGAGGAGTTTCCATCACAAAGTCTCCCCCTCCCCCCCCCCCCCCCCAGCCCACTTTGATGTATTGGATGGAGGCCGCTGGAGAAGAATTTGTGATGAAAAGTCTCCCCCCCCCCCACGGGCATAAGTCGTAGGAGGCCGTAAACCCCCACATATTATATATCATCTGAAGCTCTTTATGAGTAGAAGTTAGTAGATTGAAGTGACCGTAGCACTTAACCGGGCAGTCTTCTGACTGTTCAACTGGCTGTTGAAGCATGGGAAGATGACATGGGTTCAGCTTACAAAGTTCTTTCGAGGACATCAGCTCAGCTAAACGGAGCTGAATAGGAGTTACTACGAGCCTCTACTCAAAAAATCTCGGACAGAACTTTCGGAGCAGCCAAATGTTGCTCAAAACCCGAGTCAATTGTTTATAAAAGGACTCCTCACTTCAAAATGTCTCACTCATCCGCTTCTGAACCTATGCACTTCATAAAGCACATGTCCAACCCACCTCTCTTTCTCTTCGCCGGCAACTGGTCCCGGTCCGAAGGCCGGCAAAAATTCGCCGCGTACCACGTTGGCGGTTCCTCCGGGGACGGTACCTGTGCAGCTGAAGTCGGTGCTGGAACCGGCGTTCCCGCCGCTACCGCCGCCGACCCCACCGCCGCTGCTGATTGTGACAGAAGTGGCCATAGTACCGAGCACAGCAGCGGAGAGTTCGATCGCTGAACTGTGTCCGCTTGAGCTTGCATGTCTCATGGGCTACATTTGCTCAGTTATTCGGAAAGAAATCAAAATAAGAACTGCGTAGGATACAGAAAGCTAAGCAGGAGCTCATAACGTCTACACAATACTATAACCGTTACCCGAATTCCCCCAAAAGACTAACCCAACGGTACCGAGTTGTGGGTGGCGTTTCCATTCTGCGGCGACGTCGTCTCTGTCGACGTTGAAGCCAATCCTGGCGACGTCGACGATAAATTTGACAGCGTTGCCGCAAAACCTGCAATGGTGCAGAAGCCAATCGATATGTCGATTTTTTGGAAGTTACAGTGAGGTGGCCCATTTCCCAGCATACAGTGAGGTGGCCCATTTTCTGCGGAGTAGAGATTTTTTGTAAAAATTAGAGTAACTTACCTGGCATCAAAAACGACATATCAGGACCACTCAAGGCATATGGTGAGACAGGAGGTGGACCGATTTGTTGTATGGCGGCCAAGTTAAAGGACGTTTGATCTTTCGAGAACTCCTCAAAACAAGCTCATCTGTAGGAAACTGAACGATGGGTAGTGAAAAATCGCCCTAAGTATCAAGAAAACTCACTGTCAACGCTCGTTGTAACCGCCTGACATGCAACGGTTTTGAAAGCATTCCTACAAGTGACATAATTTCCAAAAATTCTCCTTCATCACATTGCATAATTTGATTGATGTCATCTCCTCCTAAAGGAAGAATTTTTTTCTGAATCAGCAAACTTTTAAGCTCCTCTCACCTTGTGATATAAACATATCGTAGTACTGTACAAGATTTGCTCGTTGTAACACAGCCAATAATTGCCATTCGGATATCGAAGTAGGTGGAGCCAATGGCTTCGGTGTGCTGTAAAAACTGAACAACGTGCATTAAGCTGTGACCCACCTCTCAACAGAGTTTTTCACATTGTTTTTTATGGTCCCAGAGTACAAGGGATACGATAACCTTCGCGCGGAGTTTTTGTCGCGACCTCAGCGCGATTTTTTCTTGATTTGACGCATGAGGAAAAAAGCGAATTGCGGTCAGTAAAAGAAACGCCGTTGACAGAAAAGGTCGACAGCGGTCAGTCAGAGCTGGTGATGGTGGAGTAAATCGAAAGAATGATTATGGGATTGTTGAACTGTAAGCTTTGAAAGTTTACAAAAAATGTCTGCTTATCACCTAAGCAAGCAAAAAAAATCCAGCAGATTAAAATGATGTAAAAAAACCAAACCTGTTTTGCTATCTTGGTTGAAAAAATGCTATTCTCTTGTGTAGATTTATCATACACCATAGATCAACAAAAACCACACTCACAGAAAAGAAAGATGACAAATTAGAATAACTTAAAAATTTGTCGACTAAAACTTTTGCCTGTTTCCGGCATCTTATGAAAGATATAAGAGAAATGTCTACAGTATCACTACATTACCGTTACAGTACCACTACAGTATCGATACAGTAACAAGATATTATCGTACAGTGCGAAATCCTCACCTAGCTCTGAGAGGATTTTCGACTTTCAATTGCGGCGACTCCCTTTTTACGGTATTCTTGGTAGTAGTTAGTTGTAGTTGAGATGATGAGGAGCTAGATGGTAACGCTGAAAAATCGATCAATCGATTTTTTATGATTACATAAAAAAGAACCATTTTATAAAACCTTCTCTCTATAGGCTGAAAGATTCTTCTAAGCAAACGATTCTGCTTATCTCAACCTTAGCTCCATGCATTGGAGGTCCAAAAAATTTTTTCAGTGAGGGGGGGGGGGGGGAAGCGGGCGATTTTTGGGTTAGTATGCACTCCGAAAAAGTGTTTAGGATGCTTTCCAAAACCTTTGCGGGCTCCAGAGATTTTTTTACAAAGCTAATTTGAACATCATAGTTATTGACGATAAAAAAAAGCCATTTGCGCTATCGCCACTTCTGCTGTTTAATGTTGAATTTGAAAACGTCTCTGATAATTTTCTATTTTTTTGAATTCTTCCTCTCATCTATAATGTGCCTTATGTGACAGAAGTCTTGTACATAGAAAATAAGGCATTTATGACTTATAAATCGAAAAGACAACACCACATGTGAATTGAGAACATTAGTAAAAAAAATTAGTCGCATGATTATGAGTTAGTAGGCTAGTGTGAGTAGCCATGTTGTGATTTGGACTCGATCGACAAGTTCCTTGTTTAGCTCTTTTTATCTTCATGTGATCAGAGAGCTGAAACTGTTTCATTTTCAAAAATAGCTTGTTAAAGGTCAAAAGTTGCGGAAGGAAATCTAAAAAACACAATGTAATTGCTCAAAGTTTGAGGGGGAAATAGAATCCGCGCTGTGTTCCTTCAAGTTTGCTCAAATTGAACTCTAATGATACCAGACACAATCCTCGCGCTGATCGGATGTTTTCCAGATTAACACATTCACGAATACGACCCACCGGTGGGTCATAAGTTTGACAAAGTGAAATAGGCTCTCGTCCAAAACGGCAGTAATTAAAAAATCGGCCTTGTCGTGAATGTGTTGATATAGAGCAAGCTCAGGGTATGTAATTACTAGAAAATAACTTTTTGATTTCTATATGATATCGCTATGAACTATTTCGAAAATCTGAATTTATTCACAGTTCTTTGCTGACGTCAGCCTTTATGTCATCAAAACAAACATATCAGCAGGGCTATTTTTGCGCTTCCATGCCAGGTATAAATCGTCCTTGGCTATAGGCACATTTTGAAATTGAAAAAAGAATAACTATAATGCGATCTACGGTGCTATACAGAAACTAGCCCTGATAGTAGGAAAGTCTGTAATTATGATTTATGAAGCATTTCGATTTTTTGGAGTTTTTGATTTTCAAACCCGCTATGGAAGTTCAAAGTTGAATGAAAATGGGGGTGGTGCAAAAAATTGTAGATGTAGCAAAAGATTGAAAATAATAAGGAATCAAAAATTGATGAAAGAAAAAAAATAATGTAAACGGGAATTCTACTTACCGGGTGGCTGTTGCGATGATGAGGCAACACTGGATGGGCTAGGTGTATTATTGCCATCAGAAGACGACATTGCCCTCTGAACGGTGGTGGTGGTTCTTTTCAGAACCCAAAAAACGGGAGGGGGTTCGGCAGTCGAATAGGGCCGCCCCGTGCCTGCAAAATCGACTAGAGCGAATTCTTCACACGATTTCTTCGACACTTCGTGCTGGCACAAAACCACATCGACTGAGAAGAGAGAGAGGAGAGGACGAAGGGTGATGAACGCACGATGAGAAAAAAACGGTCATAGGACGGATAGGGAAAAACCGAACGAAACGACGACATTTCGTGCAACTGTTGGGTACAGCACTGAATACTTGTGATAAATTTTGTTGAACGACGAAAAAATAAATGTGAAATGACATGGAAATCATAATGTGAAACGCGAGGGAAGTTTTTGTCAGAAGTTTTTGGAAGCAATTTTGAAACTTCAGCAAATTATGAAATACTCGAGAAAAAAAGAAGACAAGAAAGTGCGAGAGCAAGCATTGTAGTAAACTGAGGAAAAGGTATTCCTTAAGAGTGTCAGGTACGTCGATATCGGGCTGGTGTCGAGAAGAAGTTTTCTCGACCTCAGTGGCGCAAATGTAGCAAAAACTCGCTGAAAACATTGTCGACATTAGTCATACGCACTGAATGTATGCGATCGTATAGAGAGAAGTTCCTTCACTACAAAAAAAACCTTCGTCGCTTTTTCATCGTAAGTAGGCACTTCTAAAGACACGTCGAGTATATTTTCTTTTTTGAATTTACTACGCTGAATCACAAGATGATAATGGGAGAGGAAACGAAAACTTGATTTCATTGCTTTTTCATTCTTTCTTTTCCTAGAAGATTTTTTAGCTGGAACCAAGCCGGCTTTTGGAACCATGAAAGCTCTTGGAGCCGTGATGGATTCTGCAGTAACAGCGGCTCTCGGAGCCATGACGGATCTTGATCCATGATGGGTACAGGATCCATGCTGGATTTTAAAACCATGGCCGCCTTTGGAGTAACATGGATCTTGGAGCTATGAAGGACGCCGGGGTCATGATGTGTTTTGGAGCCATGGTGGATCCTGGAACCATGATGAATCCCGGGATCATGATGGGTTTTGGAGCCATGGTGGATCTTGGAGCTATGACGGATCTCGGGGTCACGATAAGTTTTGGAGCCATTGTGAATCTTGGAGCTATTGTGGATCCTAAAGCCATGAAGGAACCTGAAACCGATGGATTTTGGAGTCATAATGGATTTTAGAGCCATGATGGATCTTGGAGCCACTTCGGTTCTGAATCTCTCCGCTTCCGAAAAAGCGTTACATCTTTTTTACAACAGCCTCCCCCGCATTTTCTCCCCCATATTTACTTCTGGGAAATGAGGCTATACTATTTATTCTCATGAAACTATGATATTATGTACATAGAACCCATAAGGTTTTTCCATTCTTTTTCTTCCTCGTATCAAGTGGAGACTAAAGAGAGCATAGTCTAATGGAAAAGAACTTTTTTACCAACATATTTCAAATGAGCAGAAAAATACGTAACGATCGTTTTTACTGATTGCATTTCTTAGCATGAAAGGAAAACCTGTTCCATAGCCATAACCTATAAAATATGAATCTGGAAAAGTTGGAGAATGTGAATTTGGTCACATTTTTACATGACGACCACCTGGGCGAAATTGGTACTTTTTTGGATTCTATATTTATCAATAGTAAAGAAAGTTAAAAATGGTAGCTACATAAAAAAACTTCCTACCATGGAATATCACTGTGCAAGAGCGTGAACTGGACGAGTTGCTTCGAATAACATAAAAAGAACACCTGATGGTTTTATCAGCCAACTATCTGGATGGTGTTAGTTGGCTCATGTGAGAGATACCGAAAAGTAAAACAAGAGAAACAAGCAGCCATAAAGCACAAATGTACTGCTATAAAGTACCCGCACCAGCGTCATACGCAAAAAATCGCACTCCAGATGCTTAGGTTTTTCTGCACTTTAAGGTTATGCTGCTAGTAATAGGATGTATGCTGAAGGAGAAAAGCTGAACCCTCATGCTTTGAGTTAGAGAAGCTTACTTGAAATGCACGCAGGCAGTTCAACTTGCCAGAATATGCGCTAAATTTTCAAAAAAAAAGATGGACCAAGGTGCATGAAATAAAGTTGTAGAAAAAATGATGTAACTGGATGATCTAAGATTTTGAAACGGTACCAGAGGTGTTAACTTTAATTATCCCATTTCAGAAGTTTTTAGGACCCAAAATTTCGGACAAAGCTTAATTCTGATCGTGCAGAAGATGGTCTTTTTGTTTTGTAGGAAAGCGATATCAAAATTCTTTGCTGATTTTTTGCGCAAATTATACCAAACGGGAGTTCTGGAGCGCAATGCAGGAATTTCATAAATATTTCTAATTTCTGCTATCTCCAAGATTCATTTATAAGGGCTCCCATTGTTCTGCCAGTGCGGTCTGTATATGGTATACAAAAGTCATAGACGAGTTAACATAATTTGATTATATGCTTTTTGATTGCATATAACTCAACATTTACTTCATCTGCAACACAGTGAACCTCACCGCAAGAGTTTTGAACTTAATCAGATTTTTTAACCGCCTGGCTTGAATTCATAATTGGAATCGAGGCTTTCTGATAACTTTAAGAGACCCACCCCATCCCAAAACTTCAAAAAAAGGCCTTATTTTTTATAGACAAAGATGCTGATTAGGATAATGGCCGTTACCTTTGCCACATACACTGCTGTCATTACCATAATTGCGCTTAAGCAATGATCCTCTTCCTGGAAATTGCAACAAATTAAAGCTGCGGCGCGCTGGGTTCGCAGTTGAAGCATTTTGATCTAAGGCCTCGGGCATACTTCACGCGATTTCAGTCGCGACGCGATTTGGCAATATTCCAAAAGTAAATAACTCATCGTGGATGCATTCTAAATCTAAGAAAGTAAGGCATTATATCAGTTTACGAGAGTTGTAGTGGCTATGCATTTGTACTCTGCCAATGTTGGATTTGAAGAAATCTGGCAAATTGCCAAATCGTGTGGCGACTGAGATCGCGTGAAGTATGCCCGAGGCCTAACACTTTGTGACAAAACCCATTATATGATGATCGAGAAAGGTTTTTAACGCATGATGCACCATGTGCAGCACAGGTAGAAAGTTGTTCAAAAACAACACATGCGGGAATCGTCGGACAGCTGTAAGTATACAAAAACGGAAGCCATTTTCCTCTCACAAGGGGAGGATACTTGGTCGAAGTGGCGATTGAATAGGAAATGTATCCTATTAGAGCATGGAACGTTGATTCTGGATCTGCTTTCGCCATTTGCAGGGTATTTCTTGCAGAGGAGATATGGGATTTTTTTTGAAGCAAAAATTTCAACGACCACAGTAAAATCACTCAGAACTGTAAACTTTGAGCTCAAATGGAGTCGTGTACTCCCAGAGCGCTCTATGCAGCTAATAACTTGAGCCTAAAAACCTTATGCTAGACATTGCTCCATTGAAACGCCGGAAAGACCTCAAAACTTGTTTTTACCTTAGCCAAAAGTTTAGATTTTCGTCTCGGAAAATCCTCACAGCCCCCTTCTAAGAAGAGCTTTGCAGACATCGAGAGCAGATTTGGAATCAGCCTTCCAGGCTCTATAAAACAGTACACAAATTATAGGGAAACGCCACTTCGAACAACTATCCTTTTCCTTGCTAGACTTAACTTTCTACCTGTAACCTTAAAGGGAGATAATGGTTAGGAAACAAAACTCTTTTTGGAAAGAGTAAGTTTCAAATGCCGTTGCTTACTTAGTTGGGCCGGAAATGCCACTGTAGTAGCTCTCACAATAACTTCTGGAGATAAAATGCCTTTCACAAACCCCAGTCATAAATGGTGTTAGAATTTTGCAATCGTAATTTTTGTTGCTTTCAGCGAAATTCTATCTCAACGTGAAACTGACTGACGAGAGTTTGCAATGGTGAAGAATGCCTTTAATAGTCATCTCATTTGGGCACTAGAGTGATTTCGTAAGGCAAATGTCTCTGTCTCTTGCCTTTAGTCTTTCCGAACAACAGTAGGTCCTTTCCGCGCGAGACCTGAAAATAGGAGTGAATTCATTTGGATGATTTCAGTAAAAAATAATTCACTGCACCTTTCGGCAAGGTTCCATCGCTTGAAGCTTCAAATAACAGACGCCGGTCGGTCCGTCAAGTGTCCAGTGGATCACACTACTGACCCACCAACTACCAACTAATCACGGTAGGACAATCAGCCAATAGCGGAATTCACCATGCGCTGCGTCTCTGCCCGGTGCCAGCATGTACGGTGGAAAAAATGCACTCTTCGTGTCTCAAACGAGTTTTTGCGAGTGCCTGGTTACGGTAACAGGCAAGGAAAAAATCGTAGTAAAACGGTGATGCGTGCCAGTTCGAGTACTGACGCCACTTTTCGTTCATACTTTTTTGAAGCCAATGTCGCAATACGGCCAATCTGCACGATCCGAAAGCTTTTTCCACTACTCGCCGATTGATACTGAGTGAGCAATGCGAAGTTTTTTACGCGAACACAGCCCGACACTCTCTGCCACAGGGACTCGACTTACTCGTCTAATCCCCTGATGGCTGTCCGTTAAGCAAAAAGTGTTAGCTAGTAGAAAAAATTGCAAAAAAATGTCAACAACCCCGTGCCATTCAGTGCTTCCACAAAAAACGCACGGCCGTCAGTAGAACGAGAAAAAATCAGCCCGCGGAACAGTTTCTGCATGAAAAAACTCGCATAAAAAGTGCACTAACTGGCACGGACTGCACCGACGAGCATCCATCCACTGTAGACGTCACGGATGCGAATTCGAAGCGCGAAGAGCGTCCAAGAAACGACGAGCGAGCACGATTTTTTATATCGGACGTCAGTGGCAATCCACTATCGAACTTCTTATGCTGCTGACTTTTTATGGAGACTTTTTTCCGTGATGTAAGGCGAATCACGCATTGCATGCTCATAAGACGTTTCACTTCCCTCTTTGCTAAACAACGCGATTCACCATGGTTACGTGATTTCTCTTTGTGATAAAGAAGAACGAGTTGGATCCAACTTCAACATAGTCGCTTCTTAGCTGCTGTTTTCGGATGATTCTAAATTCCGGTGCCAAAGCAGTCGTCCTCATTGGAGCGCAATGGTCGCAGCTGCATCAAGTCAGGCAACGCGATTATGAGCCGACGCTCACTATCTAGAGAAGGTGCGAAAAGGAGAGACACAGACATATGCGCGCAATCGCAGCCGTAGTCGAATACGTCTAGGAATTGGATAATTTAAGATATTCTTGGGACTTTTTAAGCATACAAGTTTATTATGGTCTTCATTATACCATCACGGGCACCTTGAAGCGAGTTATGAGCTTTTTATTGTGCGAAATCGCATACTACCCAACATCGAAACAACATCAGATCGAATTTTTTTCTTACCAACAAGACTTGAACAAAGTGTACTAGCACTTGATGATCATGCCGTGATGCCAGTAGGTCGAGAGTATGCACACTCTGCACAGAAAAAGTCAATAATTCGCTCCAGATTGACCGTAGCAGCTAGGAATAGCATATTTGGATTCAGCGTATGAAGCTGATTCGAGATATATGTGTATTCCGTTCGAAAAAGCAAGCTAATTTAGGTGCTTTCCTATATAAGTTGAGTGGGAAGATTGAGCAGTTTTCTATCCTTGAGAATCTAATGCCGTTCTTTTCATTCTGCCAGCCATAACAAACTCATTACTATTTTGAAATACAAAACCAACATCACTATTCTTTCGAAAGAAGCTGACATTGCAGCAGAAGAACTATAGAGGCTTGTTGGATTACGTTCAAATGTCCTAAGCTGAACAGAAAGGAAGAGAAAATGACTATTAGTGAGCTCGTCCAATTCGCATCATTACGTGGATTTGAGTCTGACCTTAAAAGAGAACCTCATTCAATCACAAGAGTTAGCATATAGTTTTCTGACTAAGTGCCAGAGTGGTGAACAGTCGCTTAAAGTGTATCGTTGAAGGCAGTGGGTCAGGAGAATGGAGCCTTGTCAGATTTTGGTAGTGTTAGATAGTAGACCCCCCGAATACACTGTAGCCCCAATCCCACCCTCCATTTTATGCTCTAATCGTAAGTTCTGTAAAAGCGCTTCAAACCTCCACCAATGACGCCCACTCAATGGAAGTGGGCGGGGCTGGTGGAATTTTGAATCTCCCTTACAGAACTAAGAGCATAAAATGGAGGGTGGGATTGGGACTACGGTGTATTCGGGGGGTCTACCACCTAACATTACCAAGATCTGACAGAGGTCCATTCTGTTGATCCACTGCCTTTAAACGTACGTCCACCCTTGGAGCGTCTAATTTATTGACTCACTTCCCAGGTCTTGACAGAGGCGACTCCCGCCGAAACATCGACCTGTTTACTGGCTTGGTTGTATCAATAAACGGATGACAATTTTGAAAACGTCTGACTTATTGAGAACATATTGAACATAAAATGCCGCAAGAATGGTCGAGCACGGAGAACCTCACCACCGTTTGGGCAGATCATACAGTAGGATACAACCATCTTCTGCCATCAGTGGGTAAGCAAAGCACTTTTAGACCCCCTAATGTCGGGTTTGCTGGTGATTCATTGAAACGAAAACTCCGCTATGTTCACTCCATATGAATCGCGTAGTCAATTTTGGATGGTTTGAGCACTTAAAGTGTGAACTCAGGTGACCGACTTACTTTCAAGCCACCGATTATAGTGTGGACCCCGAACAGCTTCCCATATGCGTCGCGCACCAGCGCTTGCCTTTGATGCGCTTTTTGTCCCCGCCTTTAGTGGTTTATGCGTTCGTATCTTCAGTGATTCTATTCTTCTTGTAATCTCTATGTTCTATTTTAAAAATGACCCAGAACTGCTGATGGTGATAAGTTTTTACGAGCTTTGGAAGTCCTGAGAGCTTTTGTCTTAGAAAGTTCTAATTTTTCTCCTCGGTAGTGAAGATTGAGTGCATTTTAGGGAGATTTCTCTTCAAACGTTCCTATACGGGCTTAGCGTATCTATCTCATTTCGTTTTATATAAAGGCTTTTAGTTTTCAATGTGGCATTGAAGCGGGTGCGTAGCAAGTGGTACCCGGGCAGCCGACTGCTGCCGTAGCCAGTTTCAAAAGAATCATCCCTAAACCGCTTCAACGAAATCACATCTTATTTTGAAGTGTTGATGGAAAAGTAAGTTCAATTTCTAAGAATTTTTCATTCAGAAAAATTTGAAACCCTTGGAGCTACAGCATCAGTAAACAAATACCGTAGTCAAAATTTGTAATAGGAGAAGAACCATTTGATTTCCTATCTGTTCATCCTTGTGTTTGTAGATTATTGAAATTTTCTGGTATAGTTTCCTATCGATTGCACTATCATGACTTATAATAACGGGCTAAGGGTTGTTTACGTCTTTTTGTGTGTGAGTCTGTCCGTTACGAAATTCGTAGCGCGTGTTCCAGCCAACGTCCTGAGCCCAAATTTTGCGTAGTGCACGCTACCAGCATGAAAGCTCACTATACAAAAGCATGAGCGGATCCGTTGAGTGGATCCGTTGAAAATTGCGCGTCAAACGGATCCACTTGGCTTCTGTCCAGCAAATTTGGGTCCGTAGTACTACTTTTTGCAGAGTTATGGATATATTTGACAAGTTAATGTGCAAGCCATGGACTTTAGTCTAAAAAAGTGATGAAAAGTCTACTACTTTACGAAAACGGCGCCAAAGAGCATTGGATGTGTAAACGGTCAATTTTTCGAGATTTTACCTGATCATTTGAAAAGATTTTTGCACAGAGATGTAGCCCACCATGTTTATTGTCCTTATGGCGACTGTGAAACCATGAAAATTTCAAAAACTTATTCAAATTTGCATTTTTTTTCTTTTGGTAAAGATTTCATCCACGCGAAAATACCGATTTCACTCGAAAAACCTCTAGAAGTGATTAGCTGTTTACGAATCATTCGTAATAGCCTACAGAGCGCGGTGAGTTTCAATCTAATTATTATGCGGGAATGAGTAAGGCATAGATAAAGTAGGGCCAGTGCGAGCCTCTGCGAAGCAGAGGTGACGCACTGGTTCTCAATAAAATATGAATTTTCTGCTGTACAAAATGATGTAGATATTGAGATATCACGGTATCCCTGAGGCTGATATCGCCCCTCGGCTCGACGAGGTGCGATGATGCTTGCGGCAAGGCTTTAGAAGACGAGCATAATTACTGTACCACTTGTAGGGACCTCGTCTTCAGCTCCGACTGCGGCTGCGGCAGCAGTTGGCTGTCCGGGTACCACTTGCATGCCTCCCCATTGAAGCTTCTGCTTGTGCAATCACGCTCTTGAGTTACACTTCCTAGGTTTTATGATTACAAAAGAAAAACCTTTCAAAAATGATCCTCTCCCTGTTACTTCTGTGATTTTCACCCATCATGTAGTATCATACTAGTATTCATGAAACTGACTAGAAACTAAGCGTTATTGGAAATTGGAAGTTCCTCTTCTGCTTAGGATTTTCTTGAGTTACGTTTAGAGGGTTCCACTTCTTATTTCACTCCTATTTTCACCTAAAAATCTTTTCTGTACGTAAGTGAGATGAGAAGCTTTAAAGGCAGGGCTCGGCAAAATCGAACATCTCGAAATTTTTATATGGAAGGTTGCTTGCACCCCAAATACAAGAACGAAGCAGGTCCGAGCGCACAGCATGAAACCCATGCCTAGAAAATTGCCTCTAAACCCGTGCGCGCGAGCCATTCTTACACGCACTCGGACGAGCTCAATCGCTCACGCCGTCAGAGTCGGCATGCAGCAATGCTAAGACGTGAGGGTCCCACAACGACTCTGCGTCTCTGACCATGGCGGGGAGCGCGCCACTCGTCCATATTCAAGAGGAGGCTTGGGAAATGCTGGTTTTCGCCATCTTCGCGCTCTAAAAAGTAGATTTCTGAATTCGGCATGTCGAACTACCCCAGGTAAGCGAAAACCCAAAAGTCGAGGATTTGCCGAGCCACTGCTTTTAACAGAAAGCGCGTTGCGTGTGCCGCGGAGGTACCTATGGGAAGCTGGCCGGGCCCACACTACATCACAATGTAAGACTGATAAACTGCTCATCATACCAAACCTATGAGATGCAGAAAATCTCTAGACAACTTTCGAAGATGAAAAACATCGAAAAACTATGTGAAGCAAATTTTTTCAGCTTTTTAATCAATGGCCCTTTAAAAGTGTATTTCATATATATATTGTACAGATTAAGATGCTTAGCCACGTTCTGTGGTAAGTATTTGGAAGGCTAAAGTTTCCTCTATTTCGCTCTTTCCAGAGGTCAAAATGGAAATACATGTTACATCAAAAATCTGTCCTATAAGCGAATTCCACGCTTTCTTCAGATTACAAGCAGGCTGCCGCACGCTATAGTCACCTTTGCGATATTTGAGAATAAACGGATCCTTTCTTTGCTTAGGAAAGATGCGTTTACTCTGAAAGGTGATTTAAAGGGTACATGTTCAATTTTATAAGGGGGGGGGGGAGGAGAGAGAAAAGAGAGGAGAGTATAGAGGAGGAAAGACAGTATAGATGAGGAAAGACACAGGTTGGGGACCAGGATGAACATAGAATTTGCAAGAAAAGGTTTTGTCGCACTTGATCCCTCCGGATCGTGACATTTGCCCGAAAGCTAACCAGAAACAACATTGATATTGCGGCTTCACCAGGCATCGCACGCTGGTTCGTAAACGTTAGACATATGCCATTTGAACGAATTCATTGTCCTTAAGCGCAGGATATCGGAAGCTTCCATTCGAAACAATAAATTCAGAATTCAGTTGAAGGAGTGAGTGCACAATCTAGTAGAGTATCAGGTGCCGACAAGCCGTCCCTTCATAGCCGCATTAATATCATCGCCAAATTACGAAAAGCATCCTATAAGGCATGACCCGCTATGATATGCTACTCAGTATGTGTTAACTTACTTCGCCCGTATAATCACCAAAATACCATTGCACCTGTGCGTGTATGATGTCTTTTTCAATGAAGCTGCTAAACTAAATTGCTTACCAGCAGCTATCACTGTGCCAAACTGCCAAACCACCAGGTCAGGAAGATAAGAATCACGATACAGATGAAGTTATAGCTCATTCACTGGTATGGGGTTTGGCAAAACGAAGTTCTTGAACGCTTACATGTAGCATTCAAATTGGGTAGCGCTTGATCTACCAAAGCATTGTATATACCTGTGTATCTTGAAGATGAGCAGACTGAGCCGCCTGCCTGTGAAGGAAGCCACCGATCAATTGACGGGTCCGGAGTCCGAGCTCACCTGCTTGACTTAGCCGTTCTACCGGTGCTTTGTTACGCAGCTGAGACTTGATCGGAACTATAGCCAGGTCGAAAGCTCCACGGACCATTCACAAAGCGCTTGAGCGCAGCCTTCTGAAGATGGCCTTACACAAACAACATCTTATCGGACTTCGCGTACGGTGTACGGTTATGAAAAGGATGTCCCCTCTTCATATAAGTTGCGAAAGCGATTTGCATCATGAGAAGAACAGGCGACAGATGGACACTAAGAACATCAGAGTGGATTCCTCGCGAAACAGTACGTCCCCGAGGAAGTTGAGCAGACGAGTTCGTGAGACGGATGAACCAGCTGAGAAATTAGCTGGATACGATGTTCGCACCTGACCGTTGAGCCATCGGCGACAACCAAGAAGATCGTATATGTTTAGAGCGAGGGACGGGAAACTAAAAACTTCTGTGCTGAGCCCGCACGTCACGTGAAGGCGAGCCATCTAATTTTCTAAATAAATAACATTATGCGTTTACATATGTCGACGGCTTCGATTTTAGCACTCTAAACCTCAGTTTCGTTCTGTATATTAGGACTTGTAGTACGCCTCCCTGCAATCTCGTTTTTGCTACCTTACAGCTTGCCCCATAGAGAAGCGGTTCGCGGACTGTGTTTTGTAAGTCGATGCAAGAAAAACTTTACAGCTGGAAAACTTTTGTTTGGAGGCTATATTCAAGAGTTTTGTGTTTTTCTAGTTTCGTACGCTTCGTCCAGATGCGCCAAGCGTACTTGCCGCTGTTCTGTTTCTAAGCTCTAAAGTGGTAGATTCGGACAGACGAACAGCAGTAGGAATGCGCAAAAACGAACGTTTACAACAAGAAAAGGATAAAGATTCAAATTTTCCCTTCTTCGAACGTGGGCATTTTAATGTATTTGAATGACGTTTGATGGTCTTGTCTCGCAGATGAAATGACTGCTTATCTACTTCAGACCTCCGAAGACGACGATTTTGTAAAGACGTAAGGTCAAACAAATATCACCGTACTAACCTGGGTCTGGCACACCATCAAAGAGGAATAAAAGCATTATTGATGAGCGTTTCTAGCATAGTACCCATATTTTGTCGTTGAACAAAGTAGTGGAAAACTCGATTTGTGATATCAGCCGAAGTGGGAGTTCAAGGTGAATATCTCCAATTGCAGTATCAAATGCTTATTTCGATTTCGCATGCGAATCGCGGAATGTGGAAGGTGCGGAGTCAAAACAACGCAAAAACGCTAGACCCACTCTGTGCTTAGCAGACACACTTGCACTTCGTTATCCACCCGTTTTACGGCTGATCTGCAGTATCCGCAGTGGTGTTTGTAAACCAGCCACCAAAATATTCATCTTTTTCAAAAGAATCGTTTTGCAGAAAAGATTAACAGACTTGAGATTAGCATTCACTGCTGACTTTACGGATATGCACATTTTTTATGGCCATTCCCGCTTCCAAACTTTTTGAGATGAGATGTTGATTTCCGTAATAGGAACTTTCAAGTCTAGAAGTTGTACTTCCTTAATTATGTTCTTTTAAATATTTGCTAGAGGGAACATGAACTAGCTGAGTTACTTAGGTACAGCTCATCGGTGTCGCGAATCACTGGGTTACTGGGACTGTTAGACTATCTGATTAGATTAAATGAAAGATACCACATGTTTAAGAGTCTGAAGAAGCAAATCCTGACAAGCGCTGGTTCTCCTTTACAGTAGAGGATACAAGCAGTTAATATGCACTTTGAGTCGACACAGAAAGTAGCAAAAATCAAAGTTTTTTCCGAACTATTTCTACAGCCTTCTAAATTATTGACAGTTTCGAGAAATGATTTTTTGAGTTTAGATGAAGTGAGTGTCGCTCAACTAATACTAATCGTGAAATCGTGACATATGTAATATTTTGTTCCTTACAATTTAACCAAGGTTTCCGAGATAAAGTCAGGGCACAAGGCAGCTATGAATCTAGTCCCGAGGATGTCTCCATGAAATAAGTACCGTGAGCTTAATTCGCGAGCGGCTACCATATAAAACCCTGAGCATACCACGCGCGATTTCAGTCGCCGCCAGATCTCTTCAAGCCCAACACTCGCAAACCAAAAATGCCTGGTGTGTATTCATTTTGTGAGTCGATAAGATGTGCAATTTTTCGTGTGCTCAAATTGAGTTTGCGAGCAGCTGGAGTATCGCCAAGTCGTGTCGCGTCTGAAATCGCGTGAGGTGTGCCCGGATCTTGAAATCGCTCCTCGTGCCCTAAAGGCGCTAAAAATGCACATACCAAATGCCGCTTTCCTGTCACACATGCCTCAGCGCTTCATGCTGCGTTCATGTTGTTTCCGGAAGTTCCGGCACAATTTCAGCAAACTATGTCGGAGCTGTGCCTGAGGCGCCTCATGCGCTGCAGCCGCCCATGTGCAGGACTGGACAAAGGGATGGCGATTTCCAACCGTTCCAAATTTTCATAGTAATCTGCTCGCATTCGTCTCACAAGTATCTCGCTTCCTCTTGATGGAAAAAGGTTCAAACTTCGAGCGAGACTTGAGAATTAATGTGTTTCCGAGCCGTTTGTTGCATGAAGCTGTGTTTTTTTCGCGCATCCGTTACCCTCCATTATTTCGAAATGCCGCTGCGTTCTCCATATACAAGGTGGCTGTTAAGTATTGGCGTTACAGCATATATATATTAGGTCGTTCCGAAAGTAATGTCGCTTTTTTCAAATGGATTCCACAGCTCGTAGAACCAACGTTTTCAAGAGATCTTGGAAGCATTCGATGCAGCATTTCATCCTCTTTCTAATGACCGTAATTTCGCTGCACAATACTCGAAGAGCTTTTGAAAAATCACCGAAATCTCCAACCCATGCTCTTTGGGAAGGTCAAGTTTCACAATTTTTCTAATTTTTTGTAATGACTCTCGGAACGAGTCCAAGTAATGGATGGATAGAGCAAACCCTACAGAAAACAGCACATCTTTTTTCTACTTTCCAGAGCTCGTCATAATTTTTGTATACATTTTTTGATGGAACCATCGAATTTTAGCAGGCTCGTCTCAGACACAAATGCATCAAACATCAATAAATCTTCGGATTTTGAAATTTACAAAGATGGATTATGCTTTGGCACTGATTTTACAAACCAAATGAGCATTTGCCGCTTCAGATTAGCAACTTTCGAAAATTTCGAGTATAACCTGGGGCGCCCTGGAAAATCTGAATTATGATGATTTGTCCCGGAAAATTTAATGAATCAGAAACAAAAAACAACTTGGAGAAAGAGGAGAAAAAGCTGCGTCGAATGACACCCGAGTTGCTTGCCGGTTGTTGTTCTGTGAGGTTTGAGTTGACCAGATATGGAATTTGATAGCATTGAAAAATTGGTTCCAGAAACCATAAGAAGCAAGCTAAGGAAAAGAAAAAAATTGTTCTCTGTTTTATAGGGTTTGCTCTATCCAACAGTCACTTGCATTTCTTCGGAGAATAGGTACAAAAATTCAAAAAAAAAAATAGCCGAACTTGACCATGGCAAAAAGCATGGGTCGCAGATTTTGGTAATTTTTCGAGAGCTCGTTGAATTTTATGCAATGAGATTACCACCATTAGAAAGATGATGAAATGCTGCATCGAATGCTGCTAAGATCTCTTGAAAATCTTGATTCCATGAAATGTGGCGCTCATTTGAAAAAAGCGACATTACTTTCGGAACGACCTAATATATCTTTTTCCTAAAATATTCTATCATGACGGCCAACATGTGTAGCTTATGAACAGTCTCTTTATTAAAATAAGTGAAAATCACGCGAACTGAGGTCCTCTGATGCAAACGAGACTCCTGAGTCTACTTTTTCTTGAGAGGCGCTGCGGCGCGTTCAGTTAGCACCATATTTGTAGTGCCGTATCTTATTTTGGAGAGGAAAATTTTGTACTGTTACGGCAGTGTGTTATTCCTTGGACTGTGCCCTACAAAATCTCAAGTCTTAGAATTTATTCGATTGATAATCGGGTTGTTTCAAGAAATTTGCAATAGGTACATCCTTCAAGTAGCATTTTTGAAGCATCAATTTCAAAATAAACTGCTGAAGTCTGTATGGACGTGCGGAATCCAGTCTTGCAGGAGTAACTCACTAAGATGCCTTTGTTTTTGGCATGCAAAAATAATCTTGCAGAATTTTGGCTATGGATAATCATTAAACGAAAAATGTGACGCCCATACCTTTTTGGCCACCCTGTATAAAGGTCTGAAACAGGACCAATGTAATCATCACGATAGCACGATAGTAAAAAAAACTCGAAATTTTCTTGTGTTTTGATTGAGACGTTTTTTTCGTTTCAGCCCTATTTCTTTTTATAAAGCATACTTCTTGCTTCATCATTCTTGGTTTCTGCTTGTTGTAGAACTTCAAATATGGAGTATACAAGGGTGAAAGTAGTTCCGGT